CAGCAGACCAGGGAGATGCGGAGTGGCTTTTCTCAGCAGACACCTCAGCTTGAGAATAAAGGACTGAGGGAAGTGAGGTGTGGGAGAATAAAACTGAGCTCTGGAGAAATGTTTGGCTAGAGTTTCCCCAACAATATGTACCAGTTCCGACTTACATACAAATTCTACTAAGAACAAACCTATAGTCCCTATCTTGTACGTAACCCGGGGACTGCCTGTATTTTTGCCACACATATAATTTGGATCTTGTTTGCCCATTGGGATTTTTATTTATTTAAATACTTGCTAATGTGTATGAAAAAAGGGATCCTTACTACTGTGAGTTAACAAAGGATGGACATGGCGTGTGTGGCTTCTGCCTGGCTAGATGGGTTTTGTGAACAGGCAAGAACAGTTAAAGTATTACAGGGCGTGGTGGGATATATAAGTGCACATTTTAAGACTCCTTCAGCTCCTATCTCAAGGAAAGGTCAAGCAACTACTCAGGAGAGGCAAGGAGGGAAGGTATAAAATACTAAAGAGCCAAAGAAATGCTTGTTCCTGACCATTGCACAACCTCACTCCTCCCATGGGATACAAAAGAGATGGGACAAAGACCGCAGACTCATGACCCCCCACAGTGGAACATGACCATAAATTGTAAGGGGTAGGACCCAGGGTGTGTGTTTCAGATATAATTATGCCCACGGGGTGGAGAGGATGGGTCACAGGGAAACAAGTCTCTGTGGCATCAGAGTTATACATATGCAGTGAGGCGACTGCCCCACACAAGCAGAACAGGGGGGGACTTATTAGGAACCAATAGGAGGAAGGCTTGATGAAGCAGTCAATCAGGGCCAGGCTTGGCCACATAAGAAAGGCTGCTCAGCAGAGAAGAGGTCAAGCTCTACCTGGAGGGCAAGGGTGGAGCTCTGGCTATCTGAGGAAAGCACCCCTGACAGATCAGTGCTGGTCAGGGTCAATTCAAGGCCCTGATACAGTGGCAGAGAAGGTGCTAGAGCTACAGGGAAGTGGCCTAGGGAAACAGGCAGCAGAGCGTGGAGGAGGAACAAGGAGTGGCTGTCAGCTAACAGGTCCCTGGGCCAGGGCTCAAAGCCATGGGTTCCCCAGGAAGGGGGGCGAATGGAGTTGGGTCACATCTGGAGGACCATGCCCTGAAGAGAACACTGTGGTCTGGAAACAACTTGGGTCCAGAGAAGATCCAGACAGTGGAGACAGTGAGAGTGACAATGGATATGAAGCTAATTCCCAGAGTGACCAGCAGGCAGCGTCCTGATGGTGAATCACTTCCCGTTACAATATACTTACTAGAAACTCATCTCAATAAACATCAGATGACTTGCAGTTTGGACTTCTGTTTTCTGTCTGCATCACTAGAACTCAGGGCAAGGGTGAAAGGAAAAGCCCTCTAACACCACACAGTTTCTGAGTGAAATCCTAGTTCCCATTTACTTCAGTGGGGTCAGGATTCCACCCTGTATGTAATCTTGGGCCTGTCACATAGGGCCAGTTTTTCTAAAGAGCTTGGGGTCTCATTTGTAAGTGCTCAGCATTCAAAATTGACAGTGGGTTTGTCAAAAAAGCACATTGAGTGCTGGCCACTTAATAATCTGGCATTTAATTTTTGGTTCCTAAATGGTAGCTGAACTCTTTTGATAACCTGGCCTTAAATCCAGTCAGGTGGAAGAGGAAGTCTCAGGAAAGAAACGGCAGCTCCCATTGTGATGTGAGACCCATCATGCTGAGCTCTTTGGAAACACAGCTATTTATTCTGGCCTATAAATTGGAATAGAGTTCTTTTAAAAACCTGTGCACTTCTGTAAAAATATGATCCTTAATCTCCCAGTTTCCTCATCTATAGAGTGAGGTTAATAACACTTAAGTACCTCCCAGGAAGGGCTATTTTGAGGGTCCCAGATTTTTCAAGGAGAAGCACAAGACAAAAGTCTACACATAAAAGTGGTGAGTCCGCATGTTGTTCAGACAGGCAATGTTAGCAAGCTGCAAACAGACACACACACCCTTATTTCCTATTCCTCTGGCTGTTCCCCATCGCTCATCCAGGAACAGCTACTTTTCAGTCCATGCTCAAGCCATGTCTACACTACACAGTATAATGAAGCTTTACAATTTTCTTATTTCCCGTTAAAATTAATATCTCCATTCCCCTAGGCAGCTGTGAAATTTTCTTCCACAATGCCCAGACCTACTAGAGGGAGAGAGAGGAGAACAGCTTCCATTCATTTCTTGCTGAAATAGAGGTCTTGCCTTTGTTTTCTCTCTAAATGTGAATGGTGACAAGAAATCTAATAGATTTAGCTAGAGATTTCATTTTCTAAATTATTTCCCGCCCATCAAATTTTAAATCTGGGATTATCCCAAATTATGGATCCCCACTCCCCCCCTCCCCCCCCTTAAAAGTGCAGAGCCAGCGCAGAAGACTCCAACAGGCAAAACTGAACCTAGGAATTCTGGAATTTAGTGCATGAGCCTCTACCACTCAAGCTAAAAGCCCTCTACCTTTCAGCTAAGGCTGTAGAGCAACGGTTTCCAAACTTTTCCAGATGAGGACCCATTTTGACAATTCAGGAAGACTTGGTGACCCAAGGCAATTCAAAAACGGGGGAGGAGGGAGAGCAGAACCACCTAGGGAGACACTTGGCAACCCTTTTGAAATGTAATGGTGACCCATATTTGGGTCCCAACCCATAAATTGGGAAACCCTGCTGTAGAGGAAGCTCATTCTTTATCTCGGTAAGTGGCCACTACATGGGACAGTAACCCACATCAATAAGTTGTGTGGGTTACACATATACTTACAAAACTGACTGTACCATATACCAGGTCTCGGAAATGGTTTTATGAAATCTTCCATGGCCTGTGTGACTCAACCACACAGTGACTATTTTAAAAACAAACAAATTAGGGGACGGATGAGTGGTAGCCCCAAAATGCCTTCCTCATGCATATCTCCTACTACACAAACAGAAAAGAAAGAAATTGTATGATATATGCATATGTGATTTCAATGCCATGTTTTGTTTTGTTTTGTTTTTTTAAATATGTAGTGAAATTTCCCTGGTTAAAGGTAGTATCTTGAGCAGTGAATTGCAAAATGATAGCTTGTCTTATTTTATTTTCAAACTACTAAAGACTCCTGGCCAAAAAGGGAGGTTTTCCATTGCCTTTAATGAGCTTTGGATCAGGCTTTGAGAGATTTGTAGTCTTTCACTCCCCTGTCAAGACGCAGATAAGGTCAGGATCCTGTGTTTCCCCTGAAATTATTGTGGATATCAAAAGCACCAAAATCAGAGCAGGTAACTGCACAGCTGACTTTGGATCTGCTATTTTGGTTGATCTGTCACCGTCTTATTTTAGTTGCTGTATGTATTTATTATTAATCCAGTGAAAAGGGGAGCATAAATCCTTGTGTTTTTATCAGTTGCTGTATCCTGTTGCTCTTCACCTGCTAGTTCATCAGAACTACAAGGAGAACATAGATTCTTAGCTATGGTGCTGTTCAACATTTATCCTTTTAGCGGATCTGCAACTGCACAAGTGGAAATGTGAGTGATCTACCTGGAGTGAAAATATATGTTCTGAAGCTATATTGAAATGGACATTAACAAGATACTAAAAAGTTGGAGTGGCACAGTTGTTGCTGTGTTGATGCTTTGCAAGATTCAACGTTGTAGCTTGAGCCTGTCTTGAGTGGCTGAAATTTAGAAAGTTTTGGATTCACAACTGGATTTTGATTTCTTGCTCTCTGATTTGGATTCAGATCTAGACTTTGAATCCCTCTTCTGTTAGTCTGGTCTGACCTAAAAGGTCATTCACTTTTTTCTATATTTTGATACTTTCAGTGTTCATCGTTGTAAAGATGGCCTGAAGACCAAACATTTCATGGCAGGTAACAACAGACTGAAATGTTTCAGGGAGGCACAAAGCCAACAGCTCTCACCCCTCTCCGTCAGCCATTGACTGGTTGAAAATGCCCTCTTCACATATCAGTGTACTAAAACTGGCCTCAGGGTAGAACTTGCAATGGCAAATATGTATACAGGAATGATACCACCTCTGCATTGCAGAAGGTGCATGTAATACTCAGTCAATCACACAAAACTGTTCTCTATTTACAATAGCTAGCTCTGCTTGTGAACTGGAATAGTTTCCAAACTAAGCAGACGATTCCAGCCTCCTGTAAACAAATAACTGTTAAAGCTCAGGCAGTCTTCAGCGGCCATTGAGAAACTGTGTATAAAATTGTGTAACAACAGCTGACCATTCCAATTTATATGAAGTGAGTGCAAAGAATGTAAATATTAATTCGGCTTGTAGATGATTACCCAATTCCCTCCAACT